AAAGAACTGAAAGATCATCTAGTTCGGGGATGGAAAATCTATGTCACTCCAGATGTTCTGGATTTAGGTTTTCAGAAGCCTCAGATAGTACGATCAATAGGAAGAGGTTAGGAGAGTTGTAGGCTAAAAGGTTTTGCTGGGAAAGGTTTCTCACTCCTGGTTTAGTTCAGTTTTGTTCTTTGAGTCAGCAAACTCTCTGTCGAGCCCTCCAGAGCTTTTTTGATGGTTGACCCATGCTGTTGTGTGCTCGAAGCCAAGTGTGGCATTGGGCAATCCTGTTTCAGATGTGCATGCGTGACTGAATATGAACTTTAAATATCAAGACCCAACAATTGAATCTAGGCTGTCCAAGATCAGAACTCAAGATCCAATAGTGACTATCAAATAATACCTAATATTGGATATTACTTTCTGACAAGCTGAACCCAGGGCACTTTGCTTTTGCTTTTTTACCTTTGAAGTACAGATCACAAATTGCTGTCCCCTCTGAGTCAGTGTAACATATTGCTTGGGAAAAGGGGGCTGACAGCTCTTGCAAACTCAGCAACTATGAAAAGTTCTTCCAAATTGTATGAGACAAGAATGCATGGGAGTGAAACTTTAGGGTAAGATTATTAGGAGGAGGGCTTCTGAATTTAGTTTAGTAATACTTCACAGAACACTTGGCTTCATGGAGTCAGAACTCTGAGAGTTCAAGGTTGCGAGGAGAGATCAGAGTTTGGAAACTTACTTTTTTGGGGAAGAGGGAGGCATGCTGATTCTGGGATTTGGAGCAGTATAGTACAACAAAAGGTTTCTGTCTCCATATTTCCTTTGCTATTGTGGGATATTTCTGGTGAACATCAAATTTGAAATGCTCTGTCCTCTGCAACCATTACAATAGGGGTGAGCAACTGTACTGGGAATGGGAGCCAAATGTTATCCCCACAGCTCCCTCCACACAGACCACACCATCATATATGGACACAATGGATGTGAAGTAATTCACTGCTGGCCACCATGATATGTGTGCATGTGTTGTGTGCCTTCAAGTCATTTCTGATTTATGGCGACACTAAGGTCAACCTATCATGGAGTTTTCCTGGCAAGATTTGTTCAGAGGAGGTTTGCCATTGCTTTCTATGGAGTCTGAGAGCATGTGACTTGCTCAAGGTCACCCAGTGGATTTCATGGCTGACTGGAAATTGAACCCTGGTTTCCAGAGTCATAGTCCAATGCTCAAACCACTATGCCATGTTGGCTCTCTCACTGTAGTATAGCAACGTTTTAAAATAAAATAGAAAGGTTTTTTAGTATTGTAATTGTGGCCCACAATCAATTCTTTGTCATAGGGGGCTTGCAGACTGCCAGAAACAGTGCAAATTGAATCCACTTTTAGGGTTAGGGTTAGGGTTAGGGAATCATGGGAACTATATTTTATTGTGGCACCAGAGTTCTCTGACAGAGAAGGCTCAATGTCTCAGAAAAAAAACAACAATTTCCATGATTCCCTAGCATTAACCCTAACCCTAAAAGTGGACTCAATTTGCACTATTTCTGGCAGTCTGCAACCCCCCATAGTCAGTCTTCCCTCTTGTTCAGTAACCACAGTATTGTCCAGATGGTGGCTACAAGGGATAGAAACATATTTTGCCACCCAGCTCAAAATCCTCATGTCATAACCTCCAACTATTCTAGTTTGGCTGGGACAGTCCCAATTAAGCCTCTGTCACTCCACTTTTTCAGTTGTATTTAAAATGTCCCAGTTTCTTTCTTCTGTGCTCACTTTCTCCCTTGTCCTCAGCTTACTTCATTTGCTGAAAACTGAGTTCAAAATGCAGAAGTACCGTAGTTTGCGCTCATTTAACTCAGCAGCTGAGAGAGGAGAGGAGGGGGAAGAATTTCCCTTTCCCAGTAGATTCAGGCCACAGCAAACTGCTGCAGACTCTCCTAGCTTGTGTGTTCTTCCTCATCCATCACATTCACCATCTTGACCACATTGATGTTGCTCAGCAATGCTTCTCTTTGTTTTTATTTTAAGGAAGGCTATGCAATTTCTTCAATTTAAAGCATTGATATTCTAGTCCTGGCTACAGGGTTAACTGTATCCTGACAACTGCTAACACATTATGATTGTAAAAATGTGCAAAAGATGCACTTCCACCTTTTAAAAAATTAGGCCTTTTTTGTGTTAAACAAGAGACATACTGAATGAACATTTTGTTTTAAAGTGGAATCACAGGTCCAGGAACCAAATTTTCCTGGTTTTAATGCAAGCAAGCAGGTTTGTGTGTAAACTGTCGGGCTGCTGAATTTCAATACCAACAAGTTGCACAAAATAGGCTGGGAAGGGTATGCACAGCCTACAGACCATATGTTGCTGATGTCTGATAGAAATACAAAAAGTTGTAATAAATTACTAGTCCTGACATAGTTGCAGACTGCCAGAAATAGTGCAAATTGAGTCCACTTTTAGGGTTAGGGTTAGGGTTAGGGAATCATGGGAAGTGTATTTTATTGTGGCACCAGAGCTCTCTGACAGAGAAGGCTCAATGTCTCATGAAAAAAACAATTCCCATGATTCCCTAGCACTAACCCTAACCCTAAAAGTGGACTCAATTTGCACTATTTCTGGCAGTCTGCAACCCTGTCTCCAACACTTCATATATGAAAATTGGGACACATGTAGCCAAGCGACATCTGTGTGTGGTAAAGATGGCAAAACTTATTAGTGCAGAAGAACAACAAACTAGGAGAAACTGCAGAAATTTGCTTTTGCCTGAGCCTGTTGGGAAGAGCAAGACTTTGCCTCTTCCTCTCCTCCCTGCTGAAGTAACTGAATGGAAACTACTTTTGCATTTTGG